GGGGGTGGGGCTTCCAGGAAGCTGCCTGGCTTAGCAGGAACTTAGCTCCACGCCCCGGGGGCTGTTGATCAGGCACCGTTTCCAGGCGTGCTCAGGGTAGAGCCGCACAGGCTGCGTGAGGGAGGGACAGAGAAGCAAAGCGAATGGCAGGAGGAGAGAGGAGAGTTACTGGAAGCCTCCGCTGTGGGAGCCGCATCCCTAGCGGGCCCGATGCACTTTCCTTCCACTCCCTCGCCTGCCCTGGGGCCTTGCATTGCCCAGGGCCAGCGGGTGACTCCGCCCGTGGGCAGCTCCCCCGGCACTGGAGACCCCGTCCCCCGGCTCTGGTGGCGGCCGGGTACCAACCTTGCATAGGAGAGCAGGGCGGAGTGGGGCTTTCGTAGGACACCAAAGGATCGCGCACCTCGGAGCCATTGCGTAACAGCGTCTGCAGGGCGGAGGAGAGACCGGAGCGAGGGGGTTTCTTTTCCAGAAGGAACTCCCTCCCCCCACACCCCTCTTCTTCCCGACTCGCCCTCCCGTTCCCTTCCACCCTGGCAGGGCGGTACCAAGGACCCTTCAGGGGCGGCGGGTACCAGAGGCAGGGGGAGGCGTTGCCTTCCCAAAACGCCAGGCGTGGCCCCGCCCACGCTCCATCCCCTGTGTCAGCACGACTCCCAGGCTGCCCCCGGGCTCCAGCCACGCTCAGGGTGGGGCCGTGTGCCACCTGCCCTCCCCGTGCTACAGGGCTGGGGAGGCTCATGGGGGGCGGGGGGGATGGAGCCCTGCCCCTGCAGTGAGGGGTGATGGGGGGGCTTGGCTCCTGAAGGGGGCAGGGCCTCAGGTGAAGGCTGGGGGGGGGTTGCTTCCCCCAACCCTAGGTTCACCCCAAGACTTCCCTACCCCCAGCCACCTGAGGGAGTTTTCTGGGTGCACAGGGTGCCTCTTTCGCTCGGCGTGACCCACACCCACTGGCTCCCAAATCCAGCCCGGCCTCAGGGCAAAGCGGGCAGGGCGGTTGCCTTGGGCCCCGTGCCCTCCGGGCCCCGCAAAACTCTGGTGGCTGGGCCTGCCCCAACGGCCCAGCTCTGAGGAACCGCGGCCACTTGCTCCACCCATGCAGCCCTGTGCCGAGTCCCCCCAGCCCCCCGGTCTCCCCCCTCTCACCTGGGCTTTAGTGGCCGGGTCGATGGGGTAATTGCAGTGCTCGCAGATGTCGATGTTCTCGATCCAGTCGTCGTCGTAGTCAGAACTGCAGCAGCAGCCCATGGTCCCTGCGGGGGCGAGAGGCTGTGAAAAGGGCACGTCCGGCGCGTCGTGCCCCCACGAGAACCTCCGAGCACAAAGCAAAGGCGAACGGGGGCGTCCCTGGAGTGCGG